CAATGTCTGAGTACTATTGTATGTGAGTAGTGGAGGGCATTACATGGATATTATTAGTATCTGAGACCACAGGAGGCATATGAGCACTATCAGTTGGTGTGTGGATATAAAATTAGTATTACAGGGCTGAGGATTTAGCTCAGTGGTTCTGCCACCTGCCTTATAAGTGCAAGGACCCGAGTTTGATCCCCGGTACCAAAAAAAAAATTACTAAAATTAGTATTACAGGCCACACTGTGGACATTACCACTAAAGGCCATGGAGTGGATATATATTAAGTTGCCACTGGGGGTCAACATAGTGGAACACACCTGTAATCAAACACTTGAGAGACTTAAGGGAGGAGGACTGGAGTTCTAGGTAGAATACACAGTGAGTTGCTGTCTCAAGAAAAAAAAATGCTGCTGTGTAGATTTTATATTAGTCTGAAAAATCCATAGGGATAGAGACCTATAGACAGGGAGAGGCGAGGGACCACCCCCTTTGAAGGAGTTCAGATATTTGGCAGAACTGCCTTAACCACCAGTGAAGAGCTGGCAGTCTGAGGTTGTACCTTCTCTTACACTGTACCCTGCAAAATCAGTTTGCTAAGATTAAAAGGAAAAATAACCTTGATCCTAAGGTGTTTTAGTATTAGGCACCATGGTGTACACTTTACAGTTAGGGGTCCACTGTTTAGTAGCATAGGCCCTTCTGCTGCTTTGACACTAGTATCAGAGGCCACTGACTGTGCGGATAGTACTTTAGCACTGCAAGCCACAGTGGCCAAATCCCATGACTTACTCCAGGCCATAGTGTGGACATCTCACTGCTCTTACCGCATGTTGGGGTCTTTACCATCAAGGAACACCAAAGGAAGGAATAGAATGGATCAATAAGGGGGTGAAGGGAGGGCAGAGGTAAGGGGAAAAAATGAGAATCAAGACTTGTCATGTAGAGGTACAAGATCCCAACAATGAATGTAACTGTACTGTATCCCTAAAATGTACCAATAAACGCAATTAAAGCTGAAAAAAAAAAAAAGAATGGATCAATAGACAAGTTCAGGCTTCTATCCCTCCCAGGACCTCCTATGCCTAGGGGAATGAAATTTTGTTTGACATCCAGATGCCAACATCTTCATATTCCATCCATTCATCAAGGGAGAAGATGTTGTTCTAGGCTGCAGAAAGTTTGGGGGGAATCTAATTTAAATTGCCATTTGTGGTGCCAGTTATGATCTCACTGAATGTTGGCACTGAGAACTGGCAACTGAGATACAATGCTGGAATGTGAAATTATTATAAACAGCTATGTTAGGCAGAAGTATTTTAGGCAGTCAGATAGGAGTGGGCCCTCAGGAGAGAATCAAGACACAAGGTGAAAACATATTACAACTATGGCCAGAAATGCACCAGTTGGAGGCTGGGCCTCAAGATGTTAATAAAAGGAAGAGGCCTACATACTTCCCCAAGGGATGAGAAAGGTCATAACACCTGGTCTAATAAACTCTAGCTAGGCTTCAGCCATCCCAGTGGGCAACCAAGACCCCCAAATCCATCACCTACCTGAGACTTTTGTTTTGTTTTGTTTTTTGTTTTTTGTACTGGGGATCAAAACTCAGGACCTTACGCTTGCAAGGCTGGTGGCAGCACCACTGAGCTACATCCCTGGCCCACCTACCTGAGTTTTTAATTCTTTCCACACACACTTGTGATCCCCCATTGGATCACTATTATCTAAGTGACTATACTTATAGCCTTATAACCTTATTGGCTAATTATAGCTTTAATCCATGTTGTACCTACATGGTTTTTGCTTCCCTGTAAAGTAGGATCCTTGGCTACCCACTCAGGACCCCTCCTGCCTCTCAGGAGCCATTCTGTCAATAAACCTTTCCTACTCTTAACCTCTGTTGTTCCTACAATTCATTCTGCAATTTTAGAGAACGTGAATTCAGCATATCTGACATCTAACAGGTTGGGAATTATATTTTCCTTATATCCTATTTGAAGGCACCAATTTCATCCTGTGTCAAAATTACTCCCTCTACCCACCCTTCATGTGAACTGAGAATGAGATGCTCAACATCTCAGCCATTAAGGAAATATTTATTACAAATGCAGTGAGATTTTTCCTTCACTCCTAGTACAGCACCTATCATCAGTATAATTTAAAGAAACAAGTGTTGGTAAGGCTGCAGAGAAACTGGAACCTATACACGTGGTACAGGCTCTGTGTAAAATTCTTAGACATTTCTGGGGAAAAAAATGAATACAGATTTGTAACCAGCCCTGAAAAAAATTTTCCCTTTGAGGACAAGTGGCTTTGAGGTTTAGGATATGGACAACTTCCCCTACAACCACTCTGCCTAAAAAGTGACAAAATATATAGATAGCCCAAGAAGGCCAGAAGCCTGGTTTCTTTTACACACACACACACACACACACACACACACACACACACACACACACACATTAGCTACATGTGTGGCTGAAAGTGATAAAGTGAGTATGAAGATCTGTATTCTCTTTGCATCCCCCTCCCTCCTTACTGTGAAACACCCTTGCCTGTCTGTAAACAGAGATGGTGATGTGAGGGAAATGGGCTCCTCTAATGCCTTGGTGCTAGATTTAAATCCTTTATACCCAAATATATGCCCTCCTTTGGTTTGGTCAGTGACAAGCATACAAACCTGAGCCAATGAGCCTAAGTGGCTGGTAACACTTTGGGTGACCACGAAGGGATTTTAGTGTATCCTAGCAATCACTTGGGAAAGAGACTGCTTGCTCATGGCTAGCTCAACCTGCTGTTGGGACTCCAGGGACATTCTAGTACCTGCCAGGGACACCTTTGAACTCTGAAAATTGTCCCTTTTTTTCCCATCTGTTGTATCAGCTGCCTATAAATGCTTTTGGTGGTTTTTTTTAAAAGGTGGGGCTTTCAGGAGCTCTGATCTCACAAGTTCCAGGTTCCATGTCTTTCGGAGTTGATGGGCTCTCTCTGGTTTCCCCCTTTAAGCACACTCCAAGGATCTACTGTATCAACAGTTTGGACCTCTCTTTGGGTCATTCAGCAGTGCCGATTGGGTGAGGCAAGGACCTTTACTATTTGGGGCCATGCATATTTATTGCAGGTCATTCTCCTGTGAAAAGAGATTGGTGTGAGAGAGATTCAAAGGTTACAGAAACATTCCATACATATGTTTTGGTTTCATTTGGTTTAGAATACTCCTTTGTTTTGGCCTGCTTTGATATGCTTTTACACTTGTACCACTGAGCTAAATCCCCAGCACATTATTTCCTCTTCTTAGAACCACTTTACTCTAGGATGAGCAGTGGGGGTTTCATTCAGCACCATCTAAAATTATATAAGCCATTTGGGATTCAGGTAATTCTGAGGTTTCATTGTAAGCCAATATAGAATTCAAGGTTCTTGAGCCATTTGTCCACAAAAATAACTTTAGATTAAAAATTTTTTAAAGATTAAAAAACCCTGCTGGTGTGTTTTAAAAGCTATTATAAACTGCTCAAAAATGAAAATGCTTGTGCTATTTTACAGCTCCCTAATAATGTTTTAGTTACCTGTAACTAAAAAGGGGTGATTTTTTTGTGATACACCAAATTCATGAAAGCACACACTGATCTTACAGGGCTTTCCTCAAAAAGATTCACCAAAATAAGATTGGCTAAGATACAGATATTTTGCCTTTGTACTTTTCTTAGCAGGGAGTATTGTTTCTAAAATGGATTATTTTTTGTATTAGACATGACATAAATATCTGACCATCTATATCTAAATTTTAGCACAATAAAATGTCTTAAATTAACTAAGGTCTATATCATAAATTCAGGCAAAGAATAAAAGCTTTAAAATATTCAAATTCAGTTTAACTAGGCAAGCAGTCTCTTCTTTTGAGATATAAATCTCCAACCTGGGTACAACCTCATCCTACCTTCACATATTCAAATTTAAGCTATGTGGTCTTTCTATAAAATGGACTACTCCTCAGCCATAAAGAATGAGAAATTAGTCATTCATAGGAAAATGGATGCATATTGAGGATATACTCCTAAGTGAAATAAATAAGTCACACATGTGTAAATACCGAATGGTTTCTCTGGTGTGAAAAACTAAAATGGTAAATAAGATCCTAATGGGATAATTGACCATGTGAAATAGGAAGAAAAGGGCTAAAGGTGTAGGGGAAGTAAGAAGGGTAGGGGAAAGGAAATAAGGGAAAAGAAAAAATATGAGAAAATGAAAACAATGGAAAAAAAGTTTTTGTAAACAGGGAAGGGAGGACAGGGGTATAGGGAAAAAATGAGAACCAAGACCTGTCATGTAAAGGTACAAGATCCCAATGATAAATGTAACTGTACTGTATACCTAAAATGTACCAATAAATTCAATGAGAAAAAAAACACACACACTTTTTTTTTTTTGCAGTACCAGGGTTTGAACTCAGAACCTTGAGCTAAATCCTCGGCCAATAATATAACTTTTTAAAAGCTGATAAATTACAACTTTAAGTTGTTTTATTGTGTTGGCATGTATATATTATGTTATGCCTACCCAAATATTTGCATTTATATATTGTTTAGATGGTACCAGATTACTTTTTGTAAAAGTGCTCAACGACTTAAAGCCCATAAACCCAAATATCTTTGTTCACATGACTTTTTAAAAATGTTTTTAAAAGGCCAGGCATGGTAGTGGTGCATTCCTGTAATTACAGCACACAAGAAGATGAGGCAGGATTGCTGTGAGTTTAAGCCCCCCTGGGCTACAGAGTGAGACCCTGTCTCAAATATTTAAGAAAAACGAAGCTGAGTCAGGAGAATCACTGTGCGTTTAAGGCTAGCCTGGACTACATAGCAACACCCTATCTCGACAAATAAACAAACAAATAATAAAGCTTTAAAAGATGTTATGCAGAACCCACTTTTAACAAAAGACACGCTCTCCGTCGTGAGAAAAAGAGACGTTTATTCCAGTGAAGGGAATGAGACTGAGGTCGGGATTCTAATGGCGGAGGGAGGGAAAGAGACATAGCGGTGGCTAGCAGGGAGGGACTCCATCCCTGAGAGAATAACGTCACCAGCGGGGAGAGATACTAGCAATGAACTGGGAAAGGGACTAAGCTTATATAGGTACGGAAGGGGCTAAGGAATCTGGGTGACGTACTCACACCTTAGGGTGGTCCGCACAGTCTGCTCGGGCACGTATACACTGATTAGATTATTCAGCACCGGGGGTGACAGACCCTATGTTTTAGTCCACTTACTCACTTATGGGAAGCTGCTGGTATTTGTTAAAAGCAGCCTGTTTGTTTTCCCCGTTGATTCAGGGCAGGCCTGACATTCCCATCATTTTGTTGTTATATAGAGAGAAGGGAGAGGAGGCAGAGCTTCTCACCGGCTGCTTCGGGGTGACAAATGGGCAGCGGTGACATCCTACACGGGAGAAAAACTTAGGGAAACATCTGGGATTGGCAGGTTACCATCCCGAATGAGGTTCTGTAAGAGAAGAGTGAAGGGGGCAGGGAAGGGGTGAACTGCAGTCTTGGAGGGACCACCAGAGGTATCACCTAGGGGCACTGTTAAAGAAATGGGAGGGCTAACTGGGTCAAAGGGCACGGGAAGGGGGCGGGAAGTGCTTAGGCTCTTCTTATGGATTATCGAACAAGAGGAGGGTGAAAAGAAAGGAAACAATTTGGTCTCTTTCCGGGGAGAAGTTACCCATAGTGCCCTGAAAACAGATTAAACCAGACTGAAAGTAAATAAAACATACACAAAAGTGAGGCATTTATACATTTTCTGGAATTTGAGTCTGCCTGATGGAAGTATGACTTGCAGACTGACAGTCTTGGAGGTGAAGCTCTGGCTCCCAGGGGCGCTGGCACCTGACTGAGCCTCCAGCAGCCCCTCAGTCCCTCAGAGGTCTCGGAGGAGGAGAGGGGTAAGAGCCAGAGTGGTGTCGGGGAGCAGGCAGCGCAGGGGTGTGAGGCTCAGTGGGGCCTGCAGAGTTGGGCACGCTTAGTGTAGGGTCTCTCAAGGCAGGACCCCCATGCCTAGTGTCCAGGGCAGCGGCTGTGTCACCTGTGGGGCCAGGGCCTGTGAAAGGGAAGAAGAGGCGGAGGGAAACAGGCAGCAGCAGTGGCGCTGGTATATCCCAGGCGGTCTGAGCCTCTCAGCCTGGGCCCTTGTCTGGGGCTCAGGCTGGGTGCAGACTACCTTGTTTTCAGCAGAGCCAGGCAGTCACAGCAGTGGTGTCAGGGAGGAAGGCCGAGTCCTCGTGCAGCGTAGGTCCCAGCTGTCCCAGTGGTAGCGGGCTGTGGTTCCGCTGCGAGTGATGGCTAGGAAGGGTCTTGGATTCCATGGCTGTGTCTTGTGAGGTGGCTCCACTCAAAGGAATGATAAGAGGTTGGGAAGAGGCCAGAGAAGAGGTTGTAAGACTTGAATAGGCTAAAGTGACTCCATGCTAATAAGCCAGACTGTGCTTCTTCATATGCTAATTGCTACCTTGGTTAACAGCCCGCCCAGGGGCAAATGGTTTGACAAAAGGTGACCCTAGAACATTTCCTGCGTAAGATAAGCAATGTGTTTGCAGTCTTGTTCTGTGAATTCCCTGACTCTTTGTTTAGTAAAACCTTATAAAAAGTACCTCAGCCCCTGAGCAGTTGCCTCTCTGAGCCACCTGGCTCCAGGAGTGCCATCTGGCCAGACTAATAAAGGTCTTTTACCATCTAGGCTGGTGTGTTCCTTCCTGGGTTTCTCGGTTCTCTGTCGTGTTCCTGGAGCCTCGCTGGGTGTTAGGGCCCAGCATCGTGGAGGCCTTTCGGCTGTTCACGCTCCGTGGAGTGGAAGTGAGACTTTAGGTCTTACACCCAGGCAAAGTGGCGTGGGTAGAGGCCAAGTCAGTCATCACAGAAATTGGCTCACTACCAAGGGAAAGGACACTTCCTTTCCTGAGGCTTCAGTGACCAGAGCTGGGTTTTTTAAAACCAGCACAGAAAATCACACTGGACCTGTATTTGTCCTGGCAGGGTGAGGGGAGTAGAGGAGTGAAGAAAAATGGAGAGCACAGAACTAAAGAGCAGCTGTAGTTCTAATCCAACAGCAAGCACAGTTGCTTGCTGTAAGCAGGTTTGGGAAGAGAGGGGAGTCAGGGAAAAGGTAGTGCATGGAACCACAAAGCAGCTGCAGTTCTAACAGCAAGCACAGTTGTTTGCAGTAAGGGGGGGACTCTTAAAGGTATGGCTGTGGGGGAGCGAGAGAGTGAGACCTTAAAGTCACCACAATCATAAAAGGCACAAGGAGTGGAAACACAGGGCTGAGGTGGCTAGAGGGTAGAAAGAAAAAGTCTTACCTGGTCTGAAGCATGTAGAATGGAGCTGAGCAGCTTGCCTGCAATGCTGAAGCAAAATCTGAAGAACATGTTGACCAGTGGGTTTAGTGGCTCCTGAGGTGGGGCCTCACCCAGTCACGGGACCACAATGTTATGCAGAATCCACTTGTCAATAAGATGGGCTCTCCATTGTGAGAAAAAGAAAAGTTTATTGCAGTGAACAGAGACTAGAAATCAGGAGATTTTAGCAGCTAGCTGGGAAAAGCTGAGTTTAATACATCCATCCTTGCGTGGGTGGGCTGACAATGGGAAAGCGATAGTGACAGCTGGCTGGGAGAGACTTCATCCCTGAGAAGATGGGCTAACACCAGGAGGGAGAGATACTAGCAATTAACTGGGAAAGGAATGAGGCTTCTGTAGGTATTGAAGAGGCTAAGGAATCTGGGTGACATATTTACGGCAGGTGGTCTGCACAGTCTGCTCAGGCATGTATACATTTACTGGACTGTTCAGCACCAGGGGGTGACAGACCATATTTTTTAGTCCACTTAACTCACTTACTGGGAAGCTGCTGGTATTTGCTGAAACTAGCCTGTTTATTTTCCCTGTTGATTTAGGGCAAGCCTGATGCTCAGTACCCTCAAGAATGAGGGCTCAAATAAGGAAGGGGAAATTACAACTGGCACTGAAAAATAAAACTTTTATTTTCCCTTGAGACAACTCACTTCCGGGGGCATAGGGCATAAACACTATTCAGCCTAAAAAAAAAAAAAGTGACAAAATATATGGATGCCAGCCCCAGGAGGTCAGGAGCCTGGTTTCTGTAAAAAATTAAAATAAAAAAATCACAAACTGAAGATGGCTAAAAGTGATAAAGCAAATGTAAAGATCTACTTTCTCTCACTCTGTTTCCCCATCTGTTCCTTACTATATAAGTCCCTCCTGCACATATGGTGATTTGAGGCAAATGGGCCCCTCTGTCTCTTCAGAGCTAGCTTTAAATAAATAAACCCTTTTTGTTTTTTACCAAATATATGCCCTCCTTTTTGGTTTTGCTTTGTTTGGTACCGGGTATGAAACTCCGGACAACTCAGGTCCTTGCACTTGCAGAGCCACTGAGCTATATCCCGGCCCTATGCATGCCCTCCTTTGATCTGGTTAGCAGGGAGCACACAAACCTGAGCCTAAGTGCTGGTAACAGATGACTGTACCATTCAACCCTTGCATTCCTATGGAGATATCCAAAAGAACCAACAGCATGTATTCATGTTTCCATTTAGACTTCCAAATATATAAAATTATGATTCCTACACCAATTATCTCAAATGAGATAAGGCAAAGCAATTAAATGTGTACAATAAACATCTCTCCCCTTCAGTTTTTCTGCTTTATACAATGGTAAGACTGACAGAAAATTGGGTGGCATGTGCTTCTTAGAAAATGTCATGTCTTTACAGAAACCACATGCAGAGCAGTTCCTGCTTTGTCTGCAAGACAGTTTACAATAACTGCTTAATTTCTGTTTATACAGGAGGACCATGAAACTGAAATTTAGCTGCCCAATTGTATTTAGCCACCCCACAAATAAGCTCAAATGATACTTCAACACAACAAACTTTGGAAAGTTGAGAGAGTAGACATTATCTGTCATCTTTAGTAGAGTCAACTATTTAGCCTGGAAATGTTGGCTTTTTCTCTTAAATATTCTTAGAACTTTCCCTCTAATTTTGCTAGACTGGATTCCAGAAAAAGTCCTCATGTGAAGGTTAAGTGTGAGAGCCATATTCTGTTGTATTATACAAATTTTTGCTAATTGCATCAACCAAAGACAGTTGGTTTGCTAAATAAATGGTACTGAAGGCCTGGGGTTTAGCTCAGTGATTCCACCACCTGTCTCACAAGTGCAAGAGCCTGAGTTTGATCCCCAGTACAAAAATAAATAAATAAATAAATGGTACTGAAAGAATCCTGACCCTGGCACTACTTAGTCCAAATAATTGTGACCAAAGAAAATTATACCACAATGTAAATATTGTTAGAACTAACGAGGTGGCTGACATTAAAATATACAGATCAAGTCATAGTCTAGAAGTTTATAAAATAAGTCAATACATTATTAACCCTAAAAATACCATGTATAAGACCGAGCCCCTTAAGAACTTGTGACAGCATTTGAGATGGATGCCAGATTCTACGCAAAACAACCCATTTCCTCTGCTGCTAAGGGTATAATTTAAAGAAATCTCAGAGATTACTGAGATAAATCTGGATCCACCTGTGACTGACAGAAAATGTTGATTGGTGGGATTTAAAATGTTTTTCTTTTTTAAAAAATCACCCATAATACATAACCTCTGTACAAAGAAAAATATAAAAATCCTATATAACCATGTTTGACTACACTACTTAATTTAAAACATAAAGTCACTGGTTGAAGTTTTTCCTACGTTTCTAATTTCTCTGACAGCACTGATTTGTGGACTAATATTTATATTTAGCTCAGCTGCACTTATGGAACAAGATTTCATTTTCAAAAGGGCATAAATTTTCCTTTAGCATAAGGCCTCTATTTTTAACAGTGGTTATATCTCTAAAAGTTAACAATTTATAGAGCAAATATTTTAACTACTGTATATTTTTCTACTTTGTACTCTGCAGTTGTAATATTTACAAAAGACTGATGTCTACACAAAAAATTCTTTCACTCTCCCAACCCACCTTAGTCCCTTTTTCCTCCTCCCTCACCTCTGACCTAATTGGGGAAGTGTGGGACTTTCAGACAGGGTATGCAAACAATTTAGATGGGTTACTTGATTTTAAGTGAGTATAAAAACAATTAAAAGATGAGATCATTCTTAATTCAAGTATGTTCCAGTGCCCCAAAAGTTATTTGACAAACAGTACTTACTGACAATATAGAAAAGGTGAGCCATTCAAAGATACTATAACAATCTTAGGCCTGTAACAGCTGAACAGAAAGAAGGCCATTTTACTCTTTTAATAACAGCATTAAAGATTAGACACCAATCCTGTGGTTACTGGTAAACAAGTAGCTTAAACCAGGAGTGTCAGCACATGCCTGTAATCCCAACACTCGGGAGGCTGAGGCAGGAGGATCAATGTGAGTTTGAGGCTAGCCTGGGTAACATACTGAGTTCAAGGCCTGCCTGAATTACAGATAGAGTGAAACTCTATCTCAAAAAACAAAAAATAAAACAAAACAAGTTTAGGATCAGGGATGTAGCTCAGTAGCATCACACCTGCCTGGCAAGAGCAAGGTCCTGAGTTTGACTCCAGGTACCAGGAAAAAAAAAAAAAGTGTTCACGACACTATATTACCTGCATTTTGCTAACAATATTTCCCTAAAAATTAGCAACTTTACAGTGTTATTTTTCATGTTAAACTACTATTGACTTTCAGGAGAAATAACTGTATGTGGCTGATCGTGACATAATGCCAGTTGTGAAAATTCAGAAAAATTCCCAAAATAGCTAATTGAAGTTCTTTGTCAAAACAGAGAAACATAAAGAAATAGCCTGAATCTGCAATTATGAATTAAAAGTTTTCTCCCAGGCAGGATAGGTGGTGAAAGTGAAGTGGGCCTAAGAATTGTATTATCCTATAAAAGCTCCATTGATTTCCTGACAGAGATAACCTAATACCTAACGATATGTCAAGCAATGATACATACTCCAGCATAAACACTTATTTACAATCTTAAGGTTGATGTAAAACTAGCTTGAAGCCAACCAACACCAACCACAAAGGCTAACCTTACCATTCATCCTAACCCAACCCTGGCTCCTGACTGTGGGTGGCCCTTTTCCCACCAGCCTCCCTGTCCATCCTGACCCCTCTGCACACCTCCAGGCCCCTCCTTACTTGCTGCACCTCACACTCTTGTTGCTCAGCCTGAGGGATGCCTAGGGCAGGCTTGGGTGGTTGGCGAGGCCTGCAGGTACTCACGTCCCAACCTGCTCAGAGACAGTCCTGGAGGAGGATCTGAGGCCATGGAAGGAGGCTTCTCACCTGCTGAGGACAGACATGAAGCAACACTCTGTGGTGACTCCTCTAAATATCTGTCTAAAGGACAAAAGCATCGCTCTGGTCAGCGGGTGGGAAGAGTCCAGAAAAGAGCGTGTGTACCGAGTAAGGTCACAGGAGGGGGCAGAGCCTGGCTACAGGCTGAGGAGGGGCACGGCCAGGGCTTCTCAGCGCTGGGCGTCCTGAGGATGGGTCTTGGGAGAAACGGGCCAGGTCACAGCAGGGGCGGGTCTGGGTTCAGGAGAAGGAGGGGCATAGCCCAGGAGAGCCAGGATTGGGTACAGCAGGGCGTGTCACACGAGCAGAAGGAGTTTGGGTTCAGACACCTCTCAGGTGTGGGCACCCTGAGGCCGATCACATAGTAGCCAGCTGGGTGTCAGCAGCAGTGCTCTGTAAGCCTGGTCTTCTCAGTGCTTTTTTTTTTTAGTCCAGCTTACCCAGAAACCTGACAGGAGGGGCTTGGTGACAACACCTGCTGACTCCACAGCCTTGCCCACCAGAGGTCATTGAATCTTGCACATGTTCGCTTCAGCAGCACATATACAAAATCTTGTACGTTATAACCCAACCAAGAAGCGTTGGTGTGCAACCCCCAACTACAGCACCCAGACATCTCGGCCTGACAGCTCACCAACCCCAGTCATAGAACTACATTACCCAGAATCCTGGGAGTGACCTCACAGACTACATTACCCAGAAGACTTTGTGTGCCTCAACCACAGGACTGCTGTACCCAGAAACTTCCACATGCCCCCGCCCTAGTTCATGGTTTACACCATTTCTCACAGGACTATGGTAACAAGAAGGCTCCCCTGTGTCCCCCACCACAGGACTCAGGTATCCAAAAGCCTCTGCATGCACACAACTGTACTACAGTGTCGCGAGCCGCGACGTCGGGATCCTGCCAGCAGGTCCTAAACATGAAAGGACGAGGACAGAGAGACGAGAGGCACCTTTCTTCTCATGTTCCTTGCTTGCTTTATTACCAAACCTTTCCCTTTTATACTCTCCCGCTGCACGGGAGCGACAGTACCGCCCACACATTCCAGAGGGAAACAATAACAACTATTATGGGTTACATCTGCTAGGCAATAGATCAGACCACCAGCTGAACTAGCCCGTTGCCATGGGCGACGGCACGTCCACACTGCTCGGGTGAATCACAGGTCAATATGGCTGCACTCATGTCGTGTTCCTTTACAATGCTCTCCATACTACAGCAGCCTTAAATTTCCATGTGCCCCGCCATGATGACCCAAAGATTCTGCATGGTGAAAGCACTGCACTACCCAGAATCCTTCCTCCACCTACAAGACCCAGAACCCTATGGGTGCTCTACAAGGACTAGAGAATGTTCTCCAAGGACCCTGCTACCCAGAATCCTCAGTACAAGTATTGCAGTTTCCAGAAGCCTCAATGTTGCTTTTCTGTAAATGATACCCAGAACCTTCCACAGGTCACAGGATTGTAGTACACACAATACTCATGTGCCCCCATAAGGAGGAAGGTACCCTGAATCCTCGACGGGCTCCCTCACGAATATACTCAGATCCCTAAGTGACACAAACACCCCAGGACTATGGTATGCAAAATCCTTGCCATTTTCAGTCCTCCCAAGTGGAATACAATATCCTGAATCCTTAGCATACCCCCATGGGATTCTATTACCCAGAACCTTTGGCATGATGTCCCCACCCCTGCCCCAAACTGCAGTACCCAGAACCCTTGGTGTGGCCTACAACTGTAGTAAACAGGATCCTCAGCCAGTCCCTGCAGATTCATTGCCCAGAATTTATGGACAGCCATCCACTCATGTTTATAATACAGCCAGTCTTCAAGGAGTTGTGCTAGGGAGTCTAAGGTCCCTTGGTCCACCTGGTGATGCAGGAATCTCCTGGCTTTTGCTTCTCCTGGCTGGCTACGTGAAGAGTGAGTGATAAAGTGGTAACTTTTATTCAGCAAGCCACTTTTAGAAGGAGCCCTAATTTCTATATTTTTAGGAGCATTATAGATAAATTGAGTACATTTGCAATTTCTATGCTACAGGTAAATAATATCTCATGTCCAGCACCCCACCCCCAAAACAAATGTATTCCAGAGGCAGGAAAAGTGAGGCCTTTAATCCAAACTCTTGTAAGAGTGGTCCCCATACAGAGACAGATACACACCATTTGAGAAGCTGTTTTTATATTCCTATCTCACAGGAGTCCCTACCCTGACCTCCGATGGCCTGGGATCCAGGATTCAGTCTATTCTGAGCAATCTATTTCATCCCACACCCGTTGTTCCCCTTTCCCCCGACCCTTTTTTTCTTTTTTATTCCCTCCACTCTCTTTATTTCTTTGTAGTTAGTTTTAGTCTTTTGGCTTCCCAGGATTGAAAAGACTAATCTCTGGAGTGAGTCTTTGTACAGCCTTTGACCAAGCTATGTCTGAGGGTAAGGACTTTTACTAGAGCAGTTAATGAAATATGGACCAGTTAAAAATATTTTTACCTCTCCATCTTTGGACTTATTATTTTTGCTATACAAAACTTAATTTTCAGCCTGGTATGGTAGTGCAAGCCTGTAATCCCAACACTTGGGAGGCTGAGGCAAGAGATTCATCAAGAGTTTGAACCTTGCTTGTTCTACATAGTGAGTTCAAATTCAGCCTGAACTATATAGCAATACCCTGGCTCCAAAAAAAAAGTTTATTTCATGTATAATTCTGTATTTTGAGTTACAGTTAGGGAGGACAGAGAAAGAAGAGTGAGACAGAGACAGTAAGGGATGAGCTACACACATTCAGGGATGCTGGCCCCTTCACAAATGGATGCAGGTCCTATGCAACAGCTAAGATATGGAATCAGCAGAGATAAACATTAATTGATGATTTTTAAAATGATATGCATACTACATAATAGTATTACTAAGCCAAAAAGTAAAATAAAATCCTGTCATTTTCAGGAAAATGGGTGAATTGGACGATACCATGTCACAGAGTCAGAGGGAAGCATACTTTGCAAATTTGTCTGATGTCATGAGGGCCCTGTCATGCAGGACCTGGCTACTGTCTCATTACAGATGTGTCCAGAGCACACACTGCCCAGTGATGGCCTGGTTCTCCCAGAGGGCCCCTCGCAGACAGCCTGGCATGGCCTACCACTTACCACACTGTTCTGTGCCCAGTCATTAATGTTCCCCAGGCACAGCTTCTTTAACTGGTCCCCAGAAGGTCAGTCTGGCTGGTTGTTTCTGGTCTCTGGAACCCAAAGGGTTTGCCACCATAGATGTGAGCACCTCTGAGAATAGTGTGCATTTAGACCTCAGCTGAATGCTTCCTAATTGCCCCGAGCAGTTTCCACAGGACTCCCAGCCTGTTGAGTCTCTTACCCTGCCCTGAAGGGGCCAGATTTTTACCCTATAAATAATCCATGCTCAGGCTGGGATGTAGTTCAGTGGCGCCGCGCCTGCCTGGCAAGTGTAAGGTCCCAAGTTCAATCACCGGTACCACCACAAAAAAAAAAAAATCATCACCATCATCATCATCCATGCTCACTGTGCAGTAACAGCAGTAATAGGAAATGTGATTTTACAAGGAGAATTTAAATTCTCAAGGAGAATGCAAGACCGCCAATAACCAACATCATGATTTTAAATACAGGACAACCAGATTTTAAAGAATTCTCTTTCATTTTATAGGTTACATAACACAGGGAAAATCTGTTCTCTGCATGTTACCTATAAAATTTTAATACAGCGATGCATTCAGACCCGTACACAGTCATCACTTGCTTTTGCTGTATCACTCCTTCCCCATGTGCACTGGTGGATTAGAGGGCAGGGTGCTGTGAGTTGAGGGAGCCTCCACCTGTCTTCTGCATTCTACTGAGGAAGAGGCTGAGGCAAGGTCACGTTACCAGCCGGATTAGTCAACCTTACCTGCCTTGCTGAAGGACTTTTCTCAAAAAAAATAAATAAATAAATAAATTCAAGAATAGGAAAAATATGAGAGAAAGCAAGCTTCTGTCTAAAAGAGACAGAAGGGCTACCAGAAAGTGGGCTGGCCCTCTTTTCTCAAAATTTTGCTACTCTCTGAGTGCGGGCTCTTCAGGACCCAGTGGACCCGCCCCTGCCCCAGGCCCAGGCTCCCCACTTGTGGCACCCAGCACAGACCTGGCCACCACAGGTGTGGTCCCACACGTGTCCCCAGGGCACTGTGGCAGGACGGGACCAAGCCCAGTGAACCCTGGCCCTGGGACGGGAACTGCCTGGCAGGGATCCAGGTAAGGAGGGCAAGCCTGACCCTTAAAGAGTTCCTGTCTCTTTATCTGTGGGCTGAGCTTCCACAGGAGCTGCAACCAGGGATTCAGGGGGAGCGAGAGCTGGACAGCACGGCCACCGGTGGGCCAGACCTGACAGGGAGAGGGGTGTCCGACAAACCTGGCACCTCTGAGGGCTTCCAGTCCTCTTGGACCCTGCCCACGCCTTGGCAGCTGGACTGTGGACATTCATCACAGCAGCGTGTGTGGTAGGGGATGTCTGTGCTCAGGCCCCCAGGCACTCACCCTGTCTCTGCATCGGGTCAGGGTGGTGGCTTGGAGCTCAGCAGCAGCCTGCTGACCACGCATGTGCTGGACACCATCTCAGGGCTCCTGGCCCAGGGTCTCTGTCTCTGTTTGTCCTAGCTGGAGGACTCAGACCAGCAGTGGACAGCACTGAGGGAAAGGTAGAAGGTGCTGGGGCAGGGAGGGAAGCCAGGGCACTTGCTCCCCCATGCAGGGTCCTTCCTGTGACCCCAGGGGCACTAAGGGCAGAGCACAGGACTGGCTGCTGTCCACTGTCTCCTCAGACTAGGGGGCCCACATCCTGATTCACAGCCTGAATCCTCTGTACTAACTCTGAGCTGCAGTTTTCTCTTCTGAGCACAGGGATGGGCCAGTCACCATTTCCTCAGCTGCACACAAAGGCCCAGGGTTTGAGGCGCAGCTCACCCCTTCCCCATTCAGCCTTCAAAAAAGCTAGGGGCCAGGGCCCAGGGTCCATTTCCAGGCAGCAAGGCAACCACACAGGAGGGCCAAAGAGACCTATTTCCACCCCGTCCTCTCATCACAGTGGGGCAGCTGGTCAGATGACACCAGATTTTCCTGGAGGTGACACACAGGATTTCAGAACCCTGGACAAGAGATCAGTCCACCCCACCTGGCCCCTTCATGCAGTTGGAAACTGGTGGCCATATAGATGGGGCTTGGGTAGTTACTAACCCAGAAATCCAGGCACAATAGACTGTATTAAAAAATGCAGGTTATTGAGCTGGGTGTGGTGGCACACACCTGTAATCCCAGCACTCTGGAGGCTGAAGCAGTGAGTTTGAGGCCAGCCCAAACTACATAGCAAGACTGTCTCAAAAAAATAAAAAAAGCGGGGCCAGGGATTTAGCTCAGTGGTGTCACACCTGCCTGGCAAGCACAAGGTCCTGGGTGGAATCCCAGTACTAAGAAAGAAAGGGAAGGAAGGAAGTTATAAAACAGCACAATTCATATAATCTGTTTTGTTTTATTAAAAAAAAAAAACTTCTAAACAGACATATTTAAAACATCTAGAAAAATCTGGAAAAGTATATTACCATATAAAGGGATTATTAGGCCAGGGATTTAGCTCAGTGGTTCCGCCACCTGCTTCAAAAGTGCAAGGTCCCAAGTTCAATCCCCGGTACCAAAAATAAAAAAACAAAAATATAGGGATTATTGCTCACAGGGTACTGCAGAAGACTTTTTCCCTTCTGGCTTTTCTGGATTATAATTTCCTATATAAGACAGTGCAGCAGTGTCCCTGGAGACAGCCCCCAACCTCTGCTGCCCATCTGTATCAGGCTGTGGAGTATCCGTACCTCCAGGGTGCAGACTGGGAGGAGTGGGGTAGGATAGTCCTGTAGCCCTGTCCTCTCCCCAACTACACCGATACGGATGGCCACCGCCCTGGCCTTCTAAGGCCAGGCCAGATGAAGCCAGGCACCTACCAGCTGTCGCTTGACACCGAGAGCTACTGGAAGATGGGGCAGGAGAGGTTCCACCCATATGTAGAGGTGAGGGCTACAGACGGACGCAGGCCTCTGACACTGTGACCACCTTCATCCAGGCTGTGGGCAGACTGGTCTCACTTCTTCCCAGGCAGGTTAACTCACCTGCTTTGAGCTCTCCGAAGAAAGGTGTCCGGGGACCAGAGGCGTCACTGGCTGTCATGATGAGATGCCCACACCAGAGCTGCCTCTGGGTTAGGCTTTGGGGAAGGCCAGGCCAGTGCTGACTCACCTGCCCCTCTGTACACCGATTTTCATCTCAGCCCAGAGTGCAGCTCATTGGGCTTGCCCTGATGCCTCCCTTCAAAGAACCTGGAGCCACCATCGAAGAACCTGGCCTTTTTTACATCCAGCAGACCTGGGCTGCAGGCTCCCTGGCACTGTACCAGGGAGGCATGACCATCCCCCAGGCCCTGGGAAGGGCTCTGTCCCCCATCAGCTGACCCCACCCTACAGTCTGGGCTGCTAATGCCCCCAGGAAGCCCTGGGGCATAGCTTGGGGGCGCTGTGATCCCTCGCTGTCCTCCAGGGCCATCTCTGCTTCTCAGGTTGCCTTCACCATCACAAACTAGACCTAGAAGTTCCACGTGCCCCTGCTGCTGAGCCCATGGTCCTATACCACACACCAAGGGAGGTACAGCCAACCAGCTGCCCCCAACACACACTCTGGCACAGCCTGCCCAGCCCCTGACAGAGTGGACTCCTTGCTCATTGTGGGTGTGGTCACCAGCTTCCTGGGCCCCTGGAGCCTCTCCGGGCAGCTATGACTCAAGTATCAACCAAGTTAGTGCTGGCATCTGTAAAGCTGCTCCTGGTGTTGGGCAAAGAATGATGCACCACCCTGGCCCAGAGTGACCAGGGGCCCTCTGAGGAGCCACTGAAGTCAGGGGCAGGGTGAGAGGGGTGGCCACAGCACAGACCAGACACATGGCAGGGAGCGGGCAGACACGACACCAGGAGTAAGGTTCTACAGATGGGTTTCCTCCACAGGGGCAGGCAAGAAAGAAACAAACAAACTGTGGAAAATTTAATTTGCTGATGATGACCTCTAAAACAAAAACTTGCTGTCCTTGGTGTAAAAGAGTTATCAGCCGTTTAGTGATGCCAGGCAGGCTCTGTGGCATGCAGCAGGCTGGTGACTACGTTGGCGTAGCCACGAGTCCCGCAGGGCCTTGGCCCAGTGTCTGCCCTATCACAGCTGTCTCCAGAGGTTTGAAGCCCACATTGTCCAAGGGGATCCCAAAGGCTAGAAGCTTTGCCTCATACGTGCGCAGCAGGTCGTTGTGGGCCTGTAGGGACAAGGCAGAGTTAGGGAGGAAGGAATCCGCCTGGACCTAGCACTGAGGCTAATATGCTCTGGCCTATGCAGAGCTAAGTTCCTGTCCGTGGAGGAGTACTGGTGTGGACTGGAGACAGCCATGTGGCACAGAAGAACAAAGCCAACATATGCTAGTGGTTTGCTGTATGCACACCCAGTGCTAACACCTCTACGTGTGTGACCTGGAGGGCTGAGACCAAGGCTGGGGCCTGGGCATTTATCAAGGAGGGCCAGTGCCCCTTCCTAGCCCTGGGGGGCATGGTACCTCTGACATCCCAGCAGCTTTGTCTTCACAAGTGCAGCGCTGCCTGGGGAAGGATGAGGTCAGGCAGAAACACCCCCAGAAAAGGCCTGGGCAACAGCACTCGTGGAGCCAGCAGACAGGTGCCTTCCTAGCCACCATGCCAGGGGCTCTGTCCTCCACCCAGGAAAATGTAAAATCTCACAAAGGCCAGTTTCACTGGGTGTTTGTAAAGGTTTGATGGACTGAGCAATTTGAGAGGTATTTGTAGCTGGCCTGGCAAAGCAATGCTCAAAGGGCTAATTATCTATCCTCCAGATGGTGAAAAAAGCTATGAGCCCTGCGGCTCATAACTGGTGTCAGCAGTGTTGGGCTCCAGATAGAACTGGGAGGCTGTAGTTCTCCCCTTTCTCTGGGGTCCAGATCCCTCAAAACTCAGATGAAAGTTATGGATATCCCCCAAGAACTGCACGTATAGCAGATGGCCCTCCTTTTGTGCAGAAAAAGTATCAAAAATGTAAGAGAAAGGGGAGATAGGCAGACAGGAATCTGGGGAGAGGTGGGCCAGCCTGCAGCTTGGAGAAGGCTGAGGGACACAGTTATGGCTCCATGGGGCCTGAGAGCTATGGCAGGCACTGTCTGCAGTGTGGGCTTTCTTTTTCTTTTGAGGTGCTGGGACCTCAGAAATCCAGGGCTTCACATATATTGGGTAAGTGCTGTACTACTGAGCTATATCTCACAATGTAACACTGTAATCATAACTCCTTGGGAGACTGAGGTAGAAAGATCACAAGTTTTTAGGCAACTTACACCTCGTCTCAAAATTTTAAAATTAAAAAAAAAAAAAAGGTCCTGGAATGTACTCAGCGGTAGAGTGCATCTGGGCTCAACCTCCAGCACCGCATTACAGAGAAGAACAGAGGAGGGCTGACAATTAGAAAGTTAGTACACACAGAAATAAAGTATGCTTAATGATTGAATTCAGAATTGAACAAGGCCAGCTAGGTATTTGTGCAGAAACAAGCAAAAAAAAAAAAAAAAAAAAAAAAAAAAAAAGAACGGAGGAGGAGGAGCCGGGCATTTAGCTCAGTGCCTGCCTCCCAAGAACAAGGTCCTGAATTCAATCTTCAGTACAAAAAAAAAAAAAAGAACAGAGGACAGTAATGCCTGGACGAGGCCCAAACAACAGTCCAAGGATGCGGTGTCCACCCCAGGAAAGATGGCGCTGGGTCACACTGTGGGATGGCTGCTATTGGTGAAGCCTCCACGGGTCTGCACCATGCGGTGAGGAGGAAAACAGACTGGGATACAGTAGGCAGCATGGCCCCACGCCGGCACCAGGCTGAGCGACTCTGGGATGGCGTGGCAGCCCAAAGGCCACTCCAGGAAGGATGTAGCAGGCCAGGGCTGAGTGCAGAGGCACAGCCATACCTTACAGACCCGTGCCAGCTCATACTGGAGGTCCTTGATGGTGGTGTTCTTCGATTCCAAAACATCCTATGGAGAGAAGAGGCAAGTTTGAGACGTGTCTTTTGGCCTAGGCAGACAGGGTGGCTGGGGGCTGGGGGCTCCCTTAGGAGTCCTGAGATGTCCCATAATAACGGGCAGACTCAGCCGATATATCCAACCACCAGGTGTGTCGGCACACAGTGCTGCTGCATGTTCACAGGGAAAAGCAGACTGGACCAACAAGGAATGAAAGTGTGGTGGAGAGGGGCAGGTGGCCCAGACCTCCCAGCAGAGCAGACTATCACTAACTGCCACCTGCGGAACCACAGGACTACATTACCCCAAAACGTTTTTTTAACAGAAAGTAGTCTGTAGCTTTTTTAATTTTACCATGTTATAGAGCATGGTGTCATAGCCTGTAATCCTAGAATGTGGGAGGCTGAGACAAGAAGATTGCCATGAATTCCAGGACGGCCTAGGCTGCATAGTGAGTTCAAGCCCAGCCTAAACTACAAAGCAAGACCCTGTCTCAAAAAAACCAAATAAATAGCTGGGGATTTGGCCCCGTGGTTCTGCCACCTGCCTCGAAAGCACAAGGGCCTGCGTTCAATCCCAGGTACCACAATAAATAAATGAATATTTCACCATGTTGGCCCCAGTGCCCGGCTCAGCCCCTGGGATGCTGCCACTGGGTGAGGCTGCTGGGGTTCCTGTCTGAGGGGTTCTGTGGGAGCCAGAGTGAGGACCAAGACCAGGCCCAGCCCAGCTCCAGAGCCCAGAAAAGCCCCTCAAACCCTCACCTACCTCTTCAGCCTGAGAAGTATCTGGGGAGTGCAGGGGTGACACTTACTTCCCTAGAAAGTTCCTCACCCATATATCTGGGTAACAATAACCAGGAAGCACAGGGACTGACCCACAACTTGCTCAACTCCAACTGATTCTTATCACTGCATCCCAACTAACTGGCAGCAAAGGATTGGCCTGCCCCTCCTGAGGAGTTGGCAGGTCCTTCCACTTTCCAATGGCAGGACCTCACTCTATCTGCCCTGAGATGGGGGCCGCAAGGAGCAGGACAGAGCTGAACCCCCAATCCCATCCCCTGTGTCCTGCAGCCTCCATCAGGTCGCTGCTACATGGCAGCCCCACCCCAGGCCTGAGATTCACCTGTCCCAGGGGCCCAGATGCCATGGACCTGCTGTGTACCTGTAAGTGACACCTGCGCACCCTGGCTGGAAGCACAGGGACATCACCTGGGACCATCCCAGCTGCCTCAACAGGGGCAATTCCTGGGGAGCTGGCTCGAGGTAACTCAGACCCCTGCTTCTCTCACCCTGCGTTGTGTCTCCATCCGAGGCAGAGAGGGCTCTCTCTCCAGTTCACTCCTTGTGCCTAAACCTTCCATGACTGCCAGCTGGCCTTGTGCCCCAGATACAGAAGACAGGTCCTCCGCAATAGCCCTCTACCCTGCACACACACACACACACACACCAGGCCTGGGTGCTCCCCGAGGTCAGAGATTCTCAGGACAACCAGCACTGTAGGCCTCAATCGGGATGGGAAACAGGCAGAGTGAACAGCAGTGGGCAAAGCAGGCTAGAATGCTGTAAACAGAGATTCAGTAACTGGACATAACCCTTTAGGCTATGAGCAAAAGGATTTAAGTTTGGCTGAACTCTGCTAGCAAATCACTCTGGAAACACTGCCAATGGCTCTCTGCTGCACCACGCCCTCCCGTTCACAGCACTGAGACCACAGCATCAACAGACCATGGATTGAAACCTCAAAAACCCTGAGCCAAAATAAACCTTTCCTCCTTTAAATAGAAGAAAAAAAAGAAATGCAACCTGTGGAATTCAGTGAAAACACCTCTAGACAGTAGGGAGCTGAGGGCCCACGTCCACCTCTCTTTGGGCAGCAGAGACAGACAGACATTCACCCATCCGGAAGGATCCTTCCCTAGGACAAGCTGGCCTCCCCTCGCTAGGCCCGATGGGGCTTCAGGACCAGCTGTTTCCAACTTAAGAGTGGCAGGCATGTCTGGGAATCAACACTTATCTGACACCAGGGGCCCTAGGAAGTCACACCTGGGCTGCTGGATGCCAGCCACAAGCCTGGCAGTCACCAGCCATCCCAGCTGGCCAGGATTCCAGTGTCAGCCAAAGAGCTGCATACACTTTGTCACCTGTTCTGGGACTCTCTGGTCGGTGACAGAGCACAAGGACAAGGCCCAGTACCAGAAGCTCAACAAGCTGGTGACACATGAGATGTGAGGTTGTGTCTGAGGCTGTAGCCTCTCGATGCTTCAGCTAACCAAGTACCTCTGTCTCCCCAGCTGGCCAGCGGGGCTAAGGCCATCTCTCCTCTGTCCCCACGCAGACCAAGGACATCCTAGCAGAGCAGTGTCACACAGAGGAGCAAATGTCTGGGCTCTGCGAAGACCTCACTCTCTGTGGCACCCACAAATGCAGCAAGGATTCTGAACCACCTGAGTGCCCATGCCCCAAGTCAGTGCACCCTGGGGGCCAGCAGGTGCCAGGCCTGTCCACTGGCCAAAGACCTCAGACGCAGAGTCAGAGTCACTCTGGTTAGCTAGAGAGCAGAGGCTAAGGTCATGAGGCCAAGGTAAGGCTGGGAAACCCAGGCGCCCAGCAGCACCAAAAAAAGGAGACTGCAGTGGCACGCCTGCAGGACCCACCTGCTCCCAGGCCCCCATGGGGAGTGGAGGGCCTCTGTGCCCTCGGAGGTGGCACACACAGGGTGAAGACATGTGGGGGGGGGTCCCGTCCTTTACCTACCTCAAGTTTGTGAGACACGAGCGTCCACGCAGCAGGGTCCAGGTTGGAGGCTGCCAGCACCTCGTTGAACTGCACATCTCTCTTCTCCACAGCAGCACTCAGCACCTGCAGCTTGCGCTCCAGCAGTAAGTTTTTAAAGCCAGTCTTCCGCTGCACCTCCTGAATGGCCGCCGTGAATTTCCGGTAGAGCTCGTCCCGCTCTTGTTGCACCTGCAGAATGGGGCTGGGGTAGGTGACAAGGCCCCTTACCTAGCGATGTCACGACACAGAGAAGCCACTTCTCGCCTCTGACCCTGCTCAAGGCACACTGCTTCTTCAGACCTGGGAGACACCCAGCCCTCTACGGAACAGACCACAGGCTCTTTCCTTACAAAGCTGCTGGAATCAAGAAGCAGTCAGCTCAGTTTCCAAAGACCAGCGGACCCAGGCCGCACCTTGATGAAGCGCTGCTCCAGCACTTCGTGCTCCCACTGCAGGCCCTTCAGCTCCTTCTCGGTAACCTTCAAACGTGCTTTCGTGCTCTGGGGAGGAAAAGGGAAGGGGTCCGAAAGTACTCGGGGCTCAAACATGGGCTCCCAGGAGATGGCAAGCCTAGAAGGAATTGCCAGGAACAATCCAGGCCAGTCACGGTGACACGCAGAGAACGAGCCCTTGTCTCCTGCAGCACCACCACGTCGCTGCCCCAGAGCAATCCCAGGAAGAGAGAGCTGGTTTCCCTGCCTCTCTCTTCCCACCCTAGGGGCTGAGTATGGCCAGGGCCTTCATGTCACCTGTGTGCTTCTCCCTGAGCTCAGGAGAGCACACGCCAAGGACAGGAACCAGCAGGAAACTCACCACCAGGATCTGTTTGTCCCTCTCACAGTTCCCAAGCTTCTTCTGCATCTCAGCCATCTCGTCCTGGGCCCTCTGGAGGGGATCCGCCAGGCGCCTGCTCTGCGAGGCCACCTCCGCCATCTCTCGCTCCAGGTGCTCCTCCTTCTTTCGCATGTCTTCCATCTGCTCCTGTGGTGCAGCGGGGTGAAGAGTGGTCGGGACCTGAGACAGGCAGGTCCCGCCAGCCTCACCCATACTAGAACCCAGGCTTGCTTTACGTGTAAACAGACTTTTAGGTTTCCGGTACTGGGACTGAGCACAGAGCCTTCACACTAACCAACGTCCTCAGTCCCCTCTTCTTTTCACTAAGTCACTGAGTTGCTCAGGCCAGGATCAAATTTTCCATTCTCCTGCCTCAGCCTCCCAAAGTGCTGGGAATATGGCATGTGCCACCAGGCCCAGAGTGATTTTGCAGTCTTAACTGCTCCTGAATTTTCTAGGGCGCAGCAAACTGAGAGACTGCACTCTGTTCAGAATCCCACCAAGGTCGTTCCCCACTGAAGACCACCCTGCACTGCCAGCATCCAAGGGCCAGTGATGACTGTCTACTCCAGCTGCGGTGGCCACAGTAAGGTGCCCACTGCAGCTCTGCCTGGGTAAGCCCGGTCAGAATCCCAAGTGCTATCACTTCCCTCACTCTGCCCACACTGACAGACGCATCCTAACCACAGGTACAGGGTGTAGACAGCTCCCAACTGAGGGGGCACAGGGGGACCATCCATTTTTTTTTTTTTTTTTTTTTTTTTTTTTTTTTT